AGCTGGTTATTCTAGTTAACATTTTGTCTAACCTTTTTTCAAGGTTTTTAGTTTCTTTGCATTGGGTTAGAACATGGTCTTTTAACTCAGAGAAGTTTGTTATTGCCCACCTTCTGAAGCCTGCTTCTGTCAGTTTGTCAAACTCATTCTCTACCTTGTTTTGTTCCCTTGGTGGTGAGGAGTTGTGGTCCCTAGGAGGAGAAGAGGTGTTCTGGTCTTTGTATTCATCCTTTTTGCGCTAGTGTCTTCCTGTCTTCGTGGATTTATCTCCATTTTATCTTTGAATTTGGTGATTTCGGGAGATATCTGAGTGGTCGTCCTTTCTGTTGAGGTTGGAGATGTATCTCCTATGTGAGGTTTTTGTTTTGTTTTGTTTTGGTTTGGTTTTGGTTTTGTTTTTTTGCCTGTAGAGGCGCTGCTGGGCTGCCTTGGATTCAGTCAGGCTACTAGGAGGTCTTCCCCTGGAGTTTGTTTATGCAGGTAAGGTTAGCCCCGCCTTCCCAATGGGAGGGCATCTTTCCTTCCCTGTACTCAGTCTTCCCTGTCAGAGTCAAACTGGTGTATTTGCTTGGAAACTCTCTAGCACGCCAAGCTTCAGTTTGTTGGGTTTTGTGGGGGTGGAACCTGCCAGGCCTTATGTACTGTTTCCCTGCTTTCAACTCTGCTTTTTTTTTGTGGGATGGGTAGTTTGGTCCCCCTGGCATTAGTCCAAACTTCCACCCTGTCCCTGCTGACAACTTGTGGCGCCAGGTAGGACGCAGCCACCGCTCAGATTTTCATAGAACGAAAACCCACAGCGCCCCTCAGTCAGGCGGGGCTCTCGTGGACCGTGGGTTGCTGGAGGGATGAGGGTAGCACAGGATCCGAATTGGAGAGCAGAGGGGGTGAAGTCCCTGGCCCTCCAAGCCAGCTTTACTTTCTGGATGGGGACGCGGCCCGCCCTGTCTCAGTTCACCCTCCCTGGGCTGCTCTCGCCTCGCTTTGGCTCGCCTTCCCTGGGCTATTTTCTCTTTCCTACCATTCCCACTGAAACGAACCCAGAAGCTTGCTTGGAATCATGGAGTCCTCTAGCCCCTCTACGTCTCACTCGCTGGGAGCTGCACTCCTGAGTTCCCTCCTCTCAGCCGTCTTGGCAGCTCCCCCATCACAATTAGGTGTTTTTCTATTTTAGCAAGTTGACTTCTAGAGATGTAGAAGACGATTCTGACGTGCTACTTAAAATTTCCCTAGAAATCCAGACATGTTTATAAAAAAGAAAAAGATACCAGTGTAGGCTGGGTGCGGAGGCTCACGCCTGTAATTCCAGCAGTTTGAGAGGCCAAAGTGGGCGGATCATGAGGTCAAGATGTCAAGACCACCCTCGCCAACACGGTGAAGACTTGTCTCTACTAAAAATATAAAAATTCGCAGGGTGTGGTGGTGGGCACCTGTAATCCCAGCTACTTGAGATGCTGAGGCAGGACAGTCACTTGAGCCCAGGAGGCAGAGGTTGCCCTGAGCCGAGATTGCACCCACTGGACTCCAAACTGGGCGACAAGAGTGATAGATACTCCACCTCACAACAATAAAAATAAAAAAATACCAGTGTAAAACAAGATCAAATGATACAACCGAAATGCACAAATGCTATCCAGATGTTTTTGTTATTGCCCATTTATTTTGGCCAGTGAACATTTGATTGACTCACGTATGAAGTTCAGGGGCCATGCACTTTTTATCTCTTTCCCCAATATTAATGCACTTACCCATGTCTATTTTTCTCTCTTTTTTTTTTTTTTTTGGTGGGGAAGATAACGCCTGTTGTGTACAGTAGGACCGTGGGTCATTGTGTATGTAGAGAAGTGATGTGGATTCCTCCCAGACTCATTAGTGACCAGGGCTGCTGGCCCTGTTTGGGTTTCCTAGACTAGAGAAGAAGACAGGAACCAGGATGGGAAGATGGACATGTTACATTTTAAGCTGGAGCTTCCCCTGCAGTCTACGGAGCACGTTCTCGGTGTGCAGCTCATCCTGACTTTCTCCTATCAGTTACACGTGAGTCAGTCCGCTGGGAGGCCGTCCTCTGTCTTGTGTCTTTTTCATAGACCAGAGCCCTTCTTCTGATTTCTAGAAGAAACACACCATAGCAGGCCCTTTTCCCCATGTAGTTTGGGATAGCTTAGGCCAGTCAAATGTTTTTCACTGAAGTCCTATTAATTAATATGGGCTATTAATAGCTCAGAAGGTTCTAGGCAGTGTTTCCTGTATGACTGTGCTGGGTATGTGAGGGCCCCTTAGGTTTCAGCCAAGACAGGTGACTGTTACCACCCAGAACCCTTCAGATCTGACAGCAGTTGGTATTGTTTGTTTTTCTAATGATTTCAGAGGATGTCAACCTTCGTGATGCAGAGCATGGCATTTCTTCAGTCCTCCTTTGCTATCCCTGGATCCCAGTTATATGTGAATGGAGACCTGAGGCTGCAGCAGAAACAGCCGCTGAGCTGTGGCGGCCTAGATGCCCGATACAATGTAAGGGTGCTTCTCATTGTCCAGCCCCTTTGTTTCCGTGTGTTTCTGTTCATCGAGTTCTTTGAAGAGGCAAATGAAAAGTAGAAATATCAGGCCAGGTGTCATGGCTCACGCCTGTAATCCTAGCACTTTGGGAGGCCAAGATGGGCAGATCACTTGAGGCCAGGAGTTTGAGAACTGCCTGGACAACATGGTGAAACCCTGTCTCTGCTAAAAGTACAAAAAAATAGCTGGGCGTGTGGCACGCACCTGAAATTCCTAGCTACTCAGGAGGCTGAGGCAGGAGAATTGCTTGAACGTGGGAGGTGGAGGTTACAGTGAGCTGAGATCATACCACTGTACTCCAGCCTGGGCCACAGACTGAGACTCTGTCTAAAAAAAAAAAAAAAAATGAAGACAGAAAAGAACCTAAGGGATACTGTAAAATGATCATGTAAAATGTTCACGTAAAGTATTTCAGAAATATTACTAGCCATAGTCTACTGAACCCATAACATAGGCCAGCCCTGAGTGCAGGGGTTTACCTGTATCATCTCCTTTAATTATCACAGCAACCTCTGAGCCGCCCGCACTGTCCTTTCCCAGAGCTCCAGTCACTTGTCCCATTGCTGTCCCCCTTGCCCCCTTCCACCCACCTTGGCCTTTTTGCTGTTTCTCAAACCCAGGAAGCAGCTGCCACCTCAGGGCTTTTGCTCTTGCCATCTCCCCTGCCAGGCATCCGCGTGACTTAGCGGACTAGGCCATTCAGGTCCCTGTTGAGATATCCCTGAGCACAGCCCTTCCCCGAGCTGCCTCTGCAGTAGCAGCCCCTCCCACCATCATCCCTCAGCCAGACTTTCCCTCCTGCCACCTGGCCTACTCAGGACACGTGTTTGTGTGTTTATTTGTTGTCTCCCTCAGCGTTGACAGCAGTGGCATCTCATGTACTGTCACGTCAGTGCCTAGCACACTGCCTGGCACATGGGAAGCTCACAGAGATGCTTGTTTAAAGAATGAATTCATTTTGTGGAAGACGAAACTGGGGCTTACAGTGATTAATTTTCCCAAAGGGTCAAAGCTTGAAAGTATATCAGAACCAGGAAGTTTCTGTCTGAGTCCAGAACTCATGCATCAAATCACTCATTCCTCAACTTGCTTTTATCACAACAGGGACCGTAGAAGTTGGGCTGAGTTAAGTTAGACAGTGAGAAAGGGACATTCCCGGTTATTACAGTCATAAACCAGTGCTTGTAGATAAACAGTGGTTTTACTGTTGCTCTGGCTATAATCAACGTAAGTTATAAGGAAGAGGAAGCAATATATGAAATAATGAATGTGGCAATTTTTGTTTGAATGTCTATATATCAGATTACATTAACAGCAAGCAATTATTTTCTCCTTTACAGTATTATACACTTACGGTTTGCATTTTATCTATTTCTATCTCTATATTTAAAAGTGAGAAAGAACTTAGCACCCAGAGAACACCAAGAAAATGACAAAGCAGTTGGAAGTATGGTTTCTTGTTTTTGTTTTTGTTTTTTATTTTTATTTTTGAGACAGAATCCTGCTCTGTCACCCAGGCTAGAGTACAGTGGCATGATCTCAGGTCCCTGCAACCTCCACCTCCCAGGCTTAAGAGATAGTCTGGCTTTAGCCTCCTGAGTAGTGAGTAGCTGGGATTACAGGCATGTGCCACCCCGCCAGACTAATTTTTTTTTTCTTTTTTTTTAGTAGATGTGGGGTTTTGCTATGTTAGCCAGGCTGGTCTCAAGTGATCTATCTGCCTTGACTTCCCAAATTGTTGGGATTAGAGACATGAGCCACAATGCCTGGCTTTTTTTTTTT